AACTACGACTAACTACCACAGTATGCAAACGGAGACAAGGAGTCTAGCAATTTCCTAGATTAGTAGTATAAAAAGTCAGTCTCATTACATAGTATGGTCACTCATAAGCTCTTCCGACCGATTCATATATCAACCATTATAGGGAATCAGAACATTTTGAGTATGAATATATATATATATATATATAATACTTATGAGTATTTATCATCGATTGGGATTAATTAACTCAGTTGATGCTGAAATCAGTCATCTACTATTAATATTAATATTAATTAATCAGCATTAACAAGCAGCAATGACTATAGAGTGGAGAAATCTAAAGGTGGTCACTTCTTTCACTCAGTGCGTCGGTGCTTCAGGGCTAGAATATTTGTCAACCATGCCAAGTAATCCACAACGGGAAACTTACGGAAGCCTTCGAAGTGAGAACAGGAGTGAGGCAAGGCTGTCTATTATCGCCAATGATCTTCCTGATTGCAGTAGACTGGATAATGCGACAGACAACCGGCAATGAGGAAACAGGCATAAAATGGACTCACACAAAAGAAAACTTGGAGGATCTGAACTTCGCCGATGATATATGTCTGATTTCCCACAAACTGGAAGATATGCAAGTGAAAAGCAACAAGCTGGCAGAAGAAGCATCAAAGATAGGACTTCAGGTGAACATAGATAAAACAGAGGTGATGAAGATTCCTAGCCAACATCAACAACAACAACAACAGACAACAATCAGCCGGCATAAATCGGAGGAACCTGAAAGAAACAGCCTCCTTCACCTACCTGGGAAGCATCGTTTCAACTACAGGCAAACTGACGAGGATATCAAAGCCAGAATGGGAAAAGCAAGACAAGCTTTCATTACTCTCAAATCTGTGTGGAGGTCAACAGCACACAGCATCAAAAATAAGATCCGGATTTTCAACTCCAATGTGAAGTCAGTCAGTGCTAATATACGAATCAGAGACTTGGCCAGCGCGTCATAAAGAGCATCTCAAACAAACTACACACCTTCATTAACACTTGTCTTCGCTCAATACTAAAGATCAGATGGTCAGCCAGGAAAGGTCAGCGACAGGTTTGGATCTCTGGAAGCGCACCAACCAGGAACAGATTGCGAAACAAATAGGCAGGAAGAAATGGAGATGGACTGGCCATACTCTGAGGAAATCATCAAGTGACATCGCTAGACAAGCCATTGGTCGAGTGGAACCAGGCCGAAAGGGAAGCGGCGAGTTGGTCGTCAGTGCAAGGGTGACTTCGAGGAGGTCATGTGAAGAGGAGATGAAAGCATGTGGGCAGACTTGGGGCGGGGTGAAAACGTTGGCAGAAGAGAGAAGGCAATGGAGACGCGCAGCTGAAGCCCTATGTTCCTCTAGGAATTAAAGGATATAATAATAATAATACAAGTAGTCTGAGATCCGATCCCTGACCGATGCACTCCTCCCAAACCTCATTAAGCCGGTTGTAAGGCTGATAAAGACGGAAGGTTGGCAGTGAGGCAAGCAACCCCACCTCATGAAAATAAAACCACTGCTATAGAAAATGCATAGCTTTAGCTTAAAGCCCTATGTTCCACTCGGAACGTAAAGGAATAAAATAAATAAATAAACAAAATACATTTCTTCCACTTATCTAGGGAAGCATCATTCCAACTACAAGTTGTAGCACGGATGAAGATGTCAGAGTTAACCAGGATTAGACAAACAAACATAGACCTTCATTAATGTGAAACCTGTGTGGAAATCTACAGTACTCAGCATAAAGAACAAGACTAGAGTTTTTGACACGAGTGTCAAGTCAATGTTTCTCATATTGTTCATAGCTGCCTTCGCTTCACACTGAATATCAGATGACCAGCCAGAAGGGATTAGCAACAAGGGAAATGACGATGAAATAGACACACGCTGATGAGACTATTGTGTAACATCAAGAGATAGAGAGGTGCCCTCAGGCCGAACGTGAATGAGAAACGATGGGTCAAGTGTCTAAAGGTGATGTGGAGGAGATGATGGCCAATGGGAATCCGGGGAGCCAGATAAAGAGGATGTATTCGGAACCGAAGGGAATAATAATAGTGATAAGAACAATAGTAAACCTTCTACTGTTAAAATCCATGATTAGTGGGTGCTTTACGATACTTTCTTAGTCACTGTACGGAAAGTTTGGATGGGAGGTGAAGTAGGTTAATGTGTTTCACAAACACACGTCATCTCTTAAGCTATCGAACAAAGAAAGTTTGACTTATTGGGGAATTTTAAACCAGTAGAAAGATATAGCCAATGGGTAAAATTAATATATCACTAGTTCGACAAAGGTCGTGATAATCTGTAAAATTTACCAGTCTGATGTCAGATAATCCAACCGGTATACAGAGGAATTCGTTTCTTTTTTTTAAGAATAAACTCATTACTACCATACACCAAGACTACTTCGAACATCATAAACTATTACACAATTATAAAGAATAAAGCTATAAAATTACTAATCATACATCACAAAATATCCTAACTATATACTAGGAAACATACATTCATCCAAATGATCAGCCTCATTCGTTCCTATCATACCCACAATACTCGATATCTGAGTCATAGTCGACTTTATTAGTTTAAAAATATGACTGTTCATATGATTGGTTAGTGTGAATTGTTGACCTAGACGAATAACATCGATTCTAAATGGTTTTTTTTGCGTGGGTGTGTATATGCGTGTTTTTAGCATTATGATGCCTACTGTTATGCTCCAAAGGGTAGGAGTTTTATTTTATATTAAACATAGGTATGAAACGACAAAATGACGTGCATTGTCAGATTTTTATTTCAAATTTTCACAGAAAAATAGGTCAACTGGACAGCTGAAATTAACAATAAAATTAACCAAAAAAGAGGGATCTTACCTAACCTATCCATCTATTTCTCAGTCAATATCTTGATTAACACAGAAGGATAACTCTAGACATCTTACAAATAAGGAATAGGTAAACGAATGATTTATGTGTGTACAACAAGGTAGGTACAAAGAATATAGGTCAGTGTAGATGAACTGAATCTAACAAATCAGGAGGAAATATAATTAGATGTTACAATTCATTAGTAGGGAGGCGTATGTGCAGAGTATAGGAAAGTAAGTTATTTGTTCAGGTTAACTGATACACCCAATGCCCTCGCAGTTCAAGTGGTCTAGTGGATAAGGCCTTAGCTTCTGAAACGATGAGTACTGGGCTCGAGTTCCAGTGGGGTCACAGTCAATCAGTGGGGATTGCAGACACACCTAGATGACGAGTCCCCAACAGGATGAAATACACTTCCTGGATTCGACTAGTAGGCATCATCCGCGGAAAGCAAGTTATGTTATGTCGATGTGTTCCACTTTGTGCTGAAGTCTGAGATCCTATCACTAGGCCTGTTAAGCTGCAGCAGACTATACTGAATTATAATGTTCAGATATGTAACAGAGTGTAATGGTCGAAAATTATCGAGACAATTTTGCAATGTGATCATCTAGTAACCAGCTTTTAGAGAAAAAATCACCCACCACAATGAAAACAACAGCTGAAGAAGAAGATAACACACTCTATGAAGCGCTAGTGAAGCAACCAATTAGGTGATGTATTTACATGTATGAACGAATTCGAGCATAACAGACAGCACTGAAATAATCACGTTATTAAGACCAGTTAATATTGTATGCAAGAAATGTTTAGCTCATTTAGCTCAAACTAACAATCAAAGACTTTATAGATTGGTGACATATTTTGACTTTCAAGTATTGGTTCTATAGGGAAGCCGTGACCAGTAGGTTACAACAGGTTGAAGCAGGTTGAGGCAGTAGTTCATCAAAGAAGACATTGCGAGATGGTCGCGCTATGTCGTGAATTAGCAGAAGTTAGAATTCATGGGCCATTGGATAGGGTCCCAATGGCTTAATGGTCTACGAGCTGGCCTTGTAATCAGAGGGTCCTTGGTTCGAACCTAGATGGGCGCGTACTGCAGAAGAATCCCAAACTAGGACGGGGGAAACAGCTGTCCAGTACTCCCAGGTTTTCCAGTGGTTCTCTAAGTGATGTCAGCTCATGATGAAATCCTCCATCCAATATTTTGATTTGACTATTCCTAATTCTTTTCCAGCCTAATCCTCTCATCTGACATCACTTGGCATACTTAACATCTATTCTAGCCATTTCGGTCGACATAATTTCACAGCCTCATCGATTGACTTGCCCTCTTTAGCTGACACTATCGCTATTCACAGCATATGGCTAAAGTTGATTCCAGTAAGTTAGTTAAATTAAACATCATTTGGAAATTAGAAAATTACACCTTCGCTTGGATTTCGATCAAAAAATTTCTCAGAAATTCACAAACACAGCTACAGATTCAATTATTGGTTTGTAGGGATTTGGATGATTAATTACAGAATTTCATCATGAGCTTACATCAGTTAGAGAACCATTGGAAAACCTGGGAGTACTGGACAGCTGTTCCGTCCTAGTTTGGGACTCTTCAGCGGTACTCACCCACCGGGGTTCCAACCCAGGACTTTCTGGGCGAGCTCGTATACCATTAAGCCATTGGGATTCAATCCCATGGCCCATGAATTCTAACTTCTGCCAATTCACAATACAGCGCAACCGCTAGCCAATGTTTTCGGCGAGTATTTATCCCCACACCCGACCTGCTGCACCCTACTAGTCACGACTTCCCACTGGAACTCCAGGTAACTACCTACCTGAATAGGACCAATCGCCAGTGAGCATCTCATTGCTATTCAGATTATCTGAACATTCACTTGAGATAAAACAGTGCAGAAAAGATGGGGATAACAAAAGCCCACACGTACACACCCCCGCCCCACTAAATATTAAGATGACTAGTTTCACAAAACAGGTTGATAAACCGTTTCGAATCAAAAAGTTTTCTTCCTTCTCGTCATAAATAAGATTCATTCACAAAATGTAAATATTAAGTGAGTATAATACATAAATGAAAAATACTTACTATGAGATGGTGTATCATATGTTGTACTTGAAGTCTTTGGTGCATTGCCATCATAGTGTCCTGTAAAAATAAAATAAATGCAAAAAGTGTAATTTATAGTAAGCAGTATAATGACTTGAAAATTGACGTATTATTCAAACTAGTCTGAACTAAACTTTCCACATAGTTTACATTAAAGTGCAGTAGTTCAAGTTGCCCACCCAGCTTCATAAAAGAATAAATAAAGACCAGGAAATAACAGAAATAGTAAGAACCTATTAATTAATGGAAATGTGCGGGAGAATACTGAGGATTGTAAGGATTTCGGATCTGGCAATATCTCTCCTTAAGTTTGACAAAAAAAGTACTGACTAGACACAGGTGATTTTCTGATGTCAGCTCGTAATCAAATCAGTGACCAATCAAATCCTTGCAAACCAACACTTGACAATTAATCTGATGCTTACTAAAAACTGGATTTATACAAGAAGTTACCTAGGGTTGTATTGAGAAGTCGTGACCAGTGAGGCGCTTCAAGTCAAGTAAGAGGACAGTTATCCGCCGATGACACTGGTTGGTGGTTGGCGCCATATAGTTCGCAAATCGGTAGAAGTTGGAATTTATGGGTCATTAAATTGAGTCTAAGTGGTCTGGTGAATAACGCTTTGCGTCGGTGGCATAGCGGTTAGGACGCTCGCCGACCATGCACATGGTCCGGGGTTCGATCACCGGCCGACGCACTCCTTTACTTCCAAGTGGCTGAATGGTCTATGCTCTCGTTGTAACCAGAAGACTGTGGGTTCGAACCCCGACGGGTGTGTAAGGCTGAAGAGTCTCAAAGTGGGATGAAGCAGCTGGCTGTCTAGTCCTCTCTCATTTCCAGCGGTTCTCTAACTGATATCAGTTCGTGACCAAACATATGACCAATCAAATCCCTGCAAGCGAACAGCTGAACAGAACCGCAAATAACAATCACTGTTGTCAGTTCGACTACATGAGACATCATAGATACCATCAATATACTTTTCCGACTGAAGAAGATAATATGAACATGCACACACATTTTGTTACAACAAACGGGGTAGACTAATAATTGGTTGTGTACCTCATAGGGACTTAAGATATGAATTCCACTTAACTCTGTCTACACTGTGTTATTATTCCTCTTTGTTCAAGTATACAGTCTTTGAATATTGATTAAACTGTTATTTAATCACAAATTTAAGGATTATTGTATACACTCTGAAGGAATTTTTGATTTGCTACATAAATGAGGTTTAATTTATGCATATAAAACTATGCTGGGAAAGATATTAGCGTAAAAACAATACAGAGTTGGAGAGGTAGCCAGACAGACAGTACCGATATAGGATTAAACTATCTAACAGTCCAGATTAAGAAAGTTCACACAGTAGTATATATATATATATATATATTATTGTTCCTTTGGGTTCCTAGTGGAACATAGGGCTTCAACTGCATGTCTCCACTTGCTTCTATCTTCTGCTGTACTTTTCACCTGCATCTATGTTAGTCCATAGTTTCAACTCCTCGTCACAGGATCTCCTCCATGTCATCCTTGCAATGACGTCCCACTCACCGCTTCCCCTTCAGCCTGGTTCCACTCGAGCAATGGCCTGAAGCGCGTGCGATGTCACCCAGCAGCCTCCTCAGCGAGTGTTCAGTCCATCCATCTCCACTTTCTCCGGCATATTTATTGGTTGGCGATTGGTTCTTGCTTTGTTTCTTCCCATAGTTTCTTGTTGGTGATTCTTTCCGGCCCGGCCATCTGATCTTCAGTGCAGAGCGAAGACAGTTGTTGATAAATGTCCGCAACAGGCTGTTGGAAATATTCTTTGTGACCCGCCCACCAAGTTTCTGATCCGTATAGAAGAACTAACTGACTTGACATGTGTGTATTGAAAATTTGACTGAATTTTGTTGTTGATGCTGAGTGACGAAGATTTCCAGATTGGTTTCAGATTGATATATATATATATATATATATATATATATATATATATATATATATGTATTTTAAGGAATGAAAATAATTTTAAAAACCGTAAACTAAAATAAAGACATATTACGTAATAGTGATGAAAGTAATAGTAGAGGGTGGAACTGAAAAGGGCTACTTAACAACTGCAACAACCAATCACATTTATATTCAGTTTGGTGATGAGCCATACCTATTTCCTATACAAGAGTCTGAAAGTATTACCTAACTTAGTGTTCAAACCTGTGACTTCCTGGAGTCGAAAATCGAGGAGATTAACCGGTTATTTACAGCTGCAGATAATGCCCCGACTTATCTGTGATCAAGCCTTGGCTATATACATAATCTAGGGTCTACAGCAATCATTTTTGGCTGACATGTAACGATGTGTGCGTGTGTGTGTGTGTGCATGATGAGACAACTACGCGTTACAACAACATATCGTTATACCTATGAGGACAAATCATTCATTAATATTTGCAGTGCCACTACTATCAGTCAACTTAACTTATCATGATGGTTATTTCATAAATGCGCTAATTATCAACAAAGTATTCTCTTCTCAACATGTCAATTAATTATGCGATAAAATGTAAAAGTATTTTGAACAGCTGAGTAGGGCTCAATTCTCACATTTTTATTTTAAAGTAACAGAACAGCACACTTTTGGTCAGGTGATATAATAATAATAATACTGATAAATATAAAGTTGATAATAATGATAATAACTGTGGCTTTGCGCCTTGTTTAACTGTCAACACTCTTATTAACGTTATACACCCGTATTATTAATGAATACAAATCAAGCCCGATTGATAAGTGAGGACTAATTTACAGCATGAAAACTATGATTTTTGGAGAAGCAATCTAATTTGTAAAGTAAATTATATGTTGATTGTATGAATGAATACAGAAATAGTTGATAATTAATTCATATGCATACTCAAAGCCTAGCATTCTTTGCGGTTATCACAACCTGAACTGTGAATGTTTTGACGGGTTGTCAATAGGAATGAGGGACAATTCATAGTTATAGATTGAGCTTGTTAACTAATATGTGAAAACCATTGAAAGCTGAGGCGTATTGAACAGTTGTTTAGTCCTAGTTTTAGGACTCATTCACAGTGCAAATCAACGATGAATCTACCAGAGCTCGAACACAGATTACGGGACGAACTCGTTGGCCATTATTCAACTTACTGGATTTTAGTGCTATGTGTGATCCCTGAATTTCAGCTTCCATCAAATCGTGATATGATACCGTCAACCGCTAGTGCCATTGCTGAACATCAACTTTACATTCAACATGGTAAACGCTACTAGCTATGATTCACTGGTTTCAAAATACAGCTTTGCATAGAAGTACAGCGGTTCGACTTGCCAAGCTCCATGTAGTACAAGCAGTATGACATAAGAGATTCAAAGGAACGTCAGTGAGCATATATGTGAAGGGTAAGAAGAGAAACACGGAAAACCAATAGAGTTGAATGGATATGGCAGATCAATAGCAGTGAATGCATCTGTACCAACCACTCAGAAAGATTTCAAGGCACATTACAAATTATCTCCAGTCATTGATCCTTAAAATCCTGAGAACCGCAACCAGACAGTCTACACCTACTTATGTGGCTCAAACTAACTGTTAGAGATTCCAGGGACTGATGACATGTTTTTGGTTTCACCACCACTAGCCTTTTTCCAACCTGATCTTATGTTAGTTGACATTGCTCATCAAAGAAGGAGATGGCTAGGCATCCGTAACACATGTTCTAGCCATCTCAGTCGATGTAGCTTCACAGCTTCGTCTATTGATTTTCCCTCCCTACCTAATACTCGACGTCTAACCTCAATATTACTCATCCTGTTATACCACCTAACACTGGAGGTAGGTGGAAATCTATGATTAAAGACAGCTAGCCTTTTCATGTCTTCCACTTTCAGTGGCCATGTCTTATGGCCGTAGAGAAGGACGGCGCTAACTGCGGGGCAGTACACATGTCCTTCAATCGATAGTGGCTATGATCACTTATTACAACTTCAAGAAAGGCATCTTGTAGTCACTCATGATAACGAGACCAGTATTTAAATCTTGGGGTCGTTCTTGCATACTGCTGAATAGTTCAAAAACTAGAACAAACATTTGTTAAGTACTCTATGACTTTTAATGACCCTCTGAGTAATATAGGTTCATGGAAGAATCTGGAAGACAATAATCAATCAAAATTATAGTGGTACTCTGTTAAAATTTACTCTTCTAAGCTGTAATTACAAACAGATTTTAAATGACCCTTGATATTCCTCCCAGTCTTAATTACTTTATTTTTTATTTTGTTTATTTTTGATTACAGCTTGATTTCACACCGTATTTCTGGTACAAGTATGGAAATTTCAGCGTGGATATCGGTAGCCCAAATTTCGCAGGCTGACCATAGATATCAGGTGTGCGTCGGCGTGGGCTTGAACCCCGCATCATGTGCATGGTCGATAAGAGTCCTAATCACTGTACCTAAACATTATCACAGAATTGTAGTGTACTGGTGTTTAAGTAAAATAAATTCTAATCAAATTGGAACAGTAATCAACTGTGAATTATCAATAAAAGAAGGGACGATTGGAAGTTTACTGTGTGCATTCATAACATTATTATTCCAAGCAAAACATTAGAATGTATAATATCTATCTATTACTATGCTACTAATAAGGATTTGATTGTTTCAGTCACGTATTTCTTTACGTGTGGGACTACATGAGCCACACTTTTATTGTATGAGGGCTGATGAAACACCGATTAGGACTCTTGCCGACCATGCAAATGGTCCACCGTTAGACCCCCCACCGACGCACATCTGATATCAATTGGTCGGTCTGCAAAATTCGGCCTACCGATATCACATGCTGAAAATTCCATACTTGTAGTAAAAGTACTGTGTGGAATCAAGCTATAATAAAAAAAGAAAAGAAATTAAAACAGATAGAATGGGATCCGAACACGAAACACACTGGCTGGAAGTCTAGTTGCTTGATCCACCATCCAGCCTCATCTCTACACGGATATGGTCTGAAGATAAAATTTCTGAAAGAAAGACAAAACGTTTTAACAAGATGATACGCGTATATCGCCTTGATACGTGATGATGATATAAATAAGATAAAAGTTATTCAGTGTGATTACGGATTAAGTAATAGCATAAACATTATAGTCTTTGAAAAGAAACAACTACAACAACAACAACAACTTACCAAATGATTTGAATAAGACGAGATAGTGTGGTTCACAATATGGATTACCTTCCCATACACTGTATTTTCCCAAACTACATGTTTGTTTTTTCGGGTGAGGAAAAAGATACGGAATAAAATAAAGAAATGACTAAACACAAAATATACAAGATAAGTAAATTCAACAAAAAGAAAATACAAAATAATCGAGCAAAGAATATACTTTTCGATAAATTCCTCTTCTGGCTCTACAATTATATATACATGTTTATATACATAGAATATTCTAGAATAGTAGTCAATAACAATACTAGTGTTTTTTTAAATAATATCGATTTGTAAAATAAAATCAATGGAATTACAGTTCATTAAAGATGCTCAAATTATAATTATATTAAAATATAATAGCAAATAGAATATCAACTAAAAATTAAGGAAATTTCTACAAAAAATCGAGGATCCTTCGAACCTAGATGACCAAGGTAAGGACGACGTCTGAACTAGCTTCTTTTGGACACATAAATTAGGCTTGTTAATGTGGATCTCAACGGCCAGCCTCAGCAATATTTAGTAAACGAACTCTTAAAGAGAATTTAAGATTTGTTGGTATGCAGTAAATGACTTTGAAACCCTGGTTAACTTCAGTCTTGTGTTCTGTATCCACAAGATGAGATAGAATAGCGCTGAGAATAGATTTTGTTTGTCCTTTACTTAACCACACAGGGTGATGTTCGTAAATTTGACGAGAAATATGCCTAGTTGTACGGCCATTGTAACTGGCTTCACAGGAGAAGTTAAATTGGTAGATACACATGGAAGAGGCGAAATTACCTGCTTTACAAATCAATATTATTTTAAAAAAAACACTAATATTGTTATTGACTACTATTCTAGAATATTCTATGTATATAAACATGTATATATAATTGTAGAGCCAGAAGAGGAACTGATCGAAAAGTATATCCTTTGCTCAATTATTTTGTGTTTTATAAATGTCTGAATGAATATTTTCGCTATAATGAAATCGAAAATAAAGTAAATTAGGCAATCCAACATGGATGATTAGATGACAAAAAAGACGACAGTGAGGAATAAAATGTCACATATAACGTGGCATTACTAAATTGTTGAATGTTGTTTGATGATATGATTTAGAGTAGAAGTGATAAATAGACAATTCACTGTTTAGCAATAATTTGATTGAGTATCTATCTATCTATCTAAATTCAATCCAACCGACAAACCATAGGTTAATAAGATTATGTAATTCTATCAATTTATTATAAATTCTCTCTAATAGGATTAGTTTATTAGATTAAATGAACAGAGAAAATCAAAGCTTTTCTTCAACTGTTCACAGAAAAATTGAAAATAAGCGTATAATCTAACTCTACAAATATACTTATCAATCAATATAAAAAAAATAATAATTCAAATGATTTCCCAACTGTCATCGCCAACGATAACTTATTTGACTAGGCTATTCGATTAGGTGACTCCAGTAAACTGACAGTCAAAATAATACAGTGTAATATGTCGAGAGGCTAGGGGCACCCCTGAGCCCCGTTCTTGTGCATTGGTCACTCAGTAGTAAAATGTTCACCAACCACGCGCATGGTCCAAAGTTCGACTTCCGAGTGATACACTTCGAAAACCTCGCTTAATTTACTACCTGATAGTAAAGAAGATATCATGATACTTCTGCGACCTGAGGACTTCAAATCTCAAAGAATAGAAAAAATCCCACCGTTGTGGTCAGTTGACGTCATCCGATTGAGTCAGAAATAAGTTCTATGTTCATCACAGTAGAGAACAAACAGTTGACTTTGCATCCTACCGACATTATATTCACTGACAAATAATAAGTATGAACAAAGGACATCTTAATTTAAATCTAATTCCACCTATCACATGAATAAACAGAAGACTGATAGCCATTTGAAATAGATTCAAGGGAAGTGTGATTCGAGTAAAGTTTAGTTGTATAAATTTAATACGACAAAAGAGAGGGACAATATTTTATTTTCCTAGTCGAAATGATATTTCTTCCTATTGGAACACCTGAGTGGATTCCGATTTCACACGTGATTGCCACCCCACAGTTGAAGAGACGTAGAAAGAAAGCAGTATTAAAACTCTTAGAAATCTAGTCGCTAGATGACAGAAAGCAGAAGACTAGTGATATCCGTCAGGGATGACCAATATCAACATTTCCATTCAATTTCGTTGCACGCATATGCATGTATGCATGTAACCCTAGTTTACTTTGATGTTTCAGGAATTAACGAGTTAATAGGGAAAAATCTAAGTGGGTTACAGTACTCAAGTAAGAATATCCTTTTTGGTTGAGCATAATCAAAAACCACAGTCTTCCAAAAGGAAATAGGCCATAATCGGAGTGTGTGTTTGACTTGCAATTCTTCCCTAGTAAAAACAGTTTGAAACTGCACGAATTATACCAATATAACCTAGGTTGTAAAGGTGTTAATTATCGTCTAACTAAGAGATGGCACTAGTCCATGAAACCTTCGACTGTTGGTCTATTGTAATCTAGTTTCTATAACTCCTCACCAATCTTCAACTAATTCTTCTTCTTCTTCTTCGTAGTACAGCAACTTGAGCTGGTGGTTCACTTTTGTACTAATTTCTACGTTGATGTGTATATATGCATTTTCAGTTGTTCTATTTTTGTCTATATTTAGACTATTTCTAGGGTAAACAATACTGTTTCCTAAATTTAGGGAATTATTTGTATTATTATCGTGCTTATATCTAGTGAATTATTTGAGGACAGTTTTGGGAAATGCCAATTATTTTCTCATTTTATTGCATTCAGCATTCTAAGTTATCTGTTTTTATACAAAACACTTAATGAAGACTGAAAATAAAAGGAAGGATATTAAAACTGGGCGATAATAATAATTACTATTGTTATTATTATTATTAATGATGCTAATCAGACCCACTTCCTTTGTTTGTATAACAAACGCCTTTTATATCCAGTTTAATATGCTGTCAGCATGAGTATTGCTCACAGATCAGATCAGTTAATTATAACAGAAGTAATACCCCCTTTTTTCATGGGTATAAAACGAATCTTTGAAGTATAGGTGAATTTATATGAACAAGTAAATCAACCGTCAGATGTTTAGATAGCTTTGATCTCACTATTTTAGTACCACTCAGTTGGTGTGATCTATGAATACTCGTCATGACATCCATTAACATTGCTCTCTTTCTCTCTCTCGTGCGCGCCACATGTTAATACGTTAAAACGTTATGAATAAAAATTATTTTAATGTTTTTATCTCGCCACGAACCATAGTCGGTCAGAGAATCACTGAAAACCAAGGGGACATTTTAACAGTGTACATCAACCATCCTACAAGGAATCAAACCAAAGAACTTCAGGTTAAAAAGCATTTTCGTTGTCGCCCAGTCTCTGGAATGTAATGCTATGTATGATCTGTGAATTCTAATTTTTTCCAATTCGCGATATAGTTTTGCTGCCAATCAATGTTATTGATAAATATCTGCTTAATACCTGAAATGGTAATGGGTCAGAAACTTGGCGTGTCACGAAAAGGATTTCCAACAGGACACTGCAGACTTCCATCAACAACTGCCCCCTTCGCTGACTGCATACTGAAGATCAAATGTCCAGAAAGAATTAGTACCAATAAACTCCGGCTGGGACTAAACCAACCAAGAGCCGATTGCTCAACAAATATGTAGGAGAAAGTGGAGATGAATAGGGCATACATTGAGGAGGCCGCCGAATAACATCGCACGCCAGGCCGTTGCTCGAGTGGAATCCAAATGGGAAGCGACGAGTGGGTCGTCGGTGTGTGGGTGACATGGAGGAGATCGTGTGAGGAAGAGACGAGAGAGTTTGGTCATTCGTGGACCTAGCTGAAGAGGACGGCAGAAAACAGAACACAGTGGAGATGTGTTGCTGGAGCCGTGTGTCCCACTCGAAACGCAAGGAAATATTAATAATATACCTGAAATGGTTAGACCCCATTGACCAGGACTTCTTACTAGATGAGAATTCAGGACATTCACTCCATAAGAACTACTAATAATAAACATGAGATAAATCTTCAAATTTTAGGCTTTGTAGAGATTTGGCCACAAACGGACATTAACCACAAAAGAATCACTGAAAGCGCCAAAACTCATTGAACAATCAGTTTTGAACACTTTCAAGTAATTTCCTCTATCGAAATGTTAACATCGTCACTAATAGACATCAAATTCTAGTGGTTACAATAATAATGAGTTTATGCGCAATGTTCTGTTAGTTTTGTTATCCTCTAAGCTGTCGAATTTGTCAATAGTTTCATTTCCTTTCGAAGTAATACTGGAAATTAGCTTCTAAAAAGTGATACTGAAAACTCTGTCAACTTAATTTATTAAGTCAAAGGGTATTAGATAACTTGATCACCATATAAAGTGCAATATTATTGATCTAAACTGTGGGATCAACATGTACACAAACTATTTTATGGGGTTTGGTAATCCTAACGAATTTGAGATGAGTAATTACATCTTTCCTGTTGTTATTATTATTATTATTAAAACTTGACATTTTCGCGTCATTCACTTTAGTGAATCAGATTGATGAGTCTTATTTCTGGAGTAGTTGAGATAAAGTCTACTTTCTACCCGACTTGCCAACTACACACGTGATCGGAGGATGAAGCCCCAGCCAACCATCTCGTAAACCCCCGCTTAACCAGTAGTAAACCCCGTAAAGAGGGGGGGGGTTGGGCGTGGACCTAGCAACCCTACCCCTTAAAAAAGAATAATACTGCTACTACTGAAACTTCAAAGCTCCAGCTTAAAGTCCTATGTTTCGCTGGGGATTTAAAGAAATAGGAGAAAGGATCCTCATACTATCATCAATTCATATATCTCAACGCTTTATTTCTGCTGATACCCTGAAAGGAAATATGTATAGATACCACGAAAAAATGTCTTTTGAATACGAAAAGCCTGTTCTTTAATCCTTCTAAACTTATTTCCTCTTTATGCGTATGTGTTCTACTATATTTTGGATATTTCTTTGGATAGCGGTCTTTCACTTCAATGA